AGGTGTGACGAACAAATTAAAGCTTCATAGATGTACATACATATGTATGAATGTGTGTGTTTGTTTTGATACCCCCTAATACTTATGAACATATGTATAATGCCTTGCATACTTGTACATATTTATACACAGTAGCGGGAAAATAAATGGAGACGCGAAAAGCTTTAACTATTTGTCTTTTGTTCATTTAATGCTTTTATTTTTTATAAGAACGTATTCCAACAAAAAACATATAAGTCCGAATTTCAAATCTTGTACAAAGATTTGGAAAATTCGACAAAGTTCCATAAAAATTTCAAACTTTTTAGTCAGAACTTTTGGAAACAATTTTAGTATCCAGGTCGGGTACAATTAGTAAAATAAAGACTTAGTTTCAAGTTGCTAAAAACTCTCGTTGAATTTTGATATTTTCTTTCTAAGTATGAACGACAATTTCTTTGAAATTTTTATGAAGTTTGCCGAATTTTTCTAATTTTTGTACAACGTTTGAAATATGCACTTACATGATTTTTGTTAGGCAATACTTTCATAAAAATAACAAATCTTAAATAAACAAAAGAAAAATATCCGAAAATTGTTAGAATGTCGCGTCCCTATTTATTTACCCGCCGCCGTACATATGTGTATCCGTACAAATGTATCTATTTACCTTCAACAGCAAAGAACTAAGTTCTACATTTCAGACCATGTACGAAAGTAAATATTTACAAATATCCATACCACTATATACAGTGACGAAAATATAATTAGGGAAGAAACATTTTAGCTTTCTTTGGCTACTTTGGTTTTGTGTGGCTCCTTATCTAACGAAAACCATGTATGTTAAAATTTCAAACTTTGTACAAAAATTAACCAAAGTCGGTTAAGTTTCAACAAAATTTTGAGCTTTTTAATTAGATCCTTTTGAAACATTCTGAGTACGCAGTTTTGTAGCCCATTCAATTTTAGTATAACAGACTGCAAATTTTAAGTAGCTAGAAATCACCGTTAATTTTTGGCAATTTATTTGGTCGAAGGTGTTCCTAATTTTCTACATACAAAAAAAAAAATCCAACATACTTTCTTTCGAACAATGTGCGAACAAATAAGTATGTCCTAGCTACTTCAAACTTGCACTTTGTTATACTAAAATCTAATGGGCTACAAAACTGTATACTAAAAAAAATATAAAAAATCTGATAAAAAATTTCCAACTTTGATGAACATTTTTTGCTGAAACTCATCAAATTTTAACAAATGTTGTACAAAGTTTGATTTAAATGGTTTTGTTTAGATAATAAGCTATATTTAAAAAAAAAAATTTTAAACAAAGAAAAATAGCCAAAAATTGTTAAAATTTCTTTTCCCTATTTACATGCTCGTCACCGTACTTATGTTTTCATACTAAAAACCTATTACCTCAAGCTGTGTGCTTTCTACTGGATATGTTGGATTGTAGGATGAGGTGGTGTATGAGTCAAAATCATAGCAGCGCAACGAGTATTATTTATTCTTCTTTTATTGGGTTTGTTTGTTTTGCGGCTATTATTGCTAGTGTCGGTAGTGGTGTTATTTTAAAATACATACCCACATAAAAAAATCGCTGAGCCAACAATACAGCTTCAATATAACAAAAACCGAGACGCCATTGAAGCGGCAGCGGCAGCGCCATCGTTGAACTTGACTGTTGGCCGCTGAGGATGCTTTGTTGGCGGTTACGGAAACGCTATTGCCGCAATGACAAAAGAGCCGCTGGGTATAACTTACATAGTTGGAACACACCTGTATGAATAAACTGATATTTTCATATGTATAAATACATATATGTAAGTACTTGCCTCTATGTAAGTATACTGTAGGGAACTCAACTGACTATAAATGCACTAAGTTCACAATTTTGGCGCTGGGGGGTGGCTACGGCTCGACTACTTTACGCTAATTTTAACTGACTACCTTTAGATGTTCATGCGGCAAAATAAGTGAGTTTATTTTCAGCTAACTAGAAATTGGTTATTTTATAAGTTGACTTGCAGAGTGCTTATCAATAGCAACGGTTGAGCCCTACATGACTTTGAAACCAATTTAAAGTTAGCTTTAGTAAGTGAGCCAAAAGTAAGCTATTTAAGTAGTTGACTACAAATTTCCCGACAGGGTATGTTTTTACGCACATTCATCTGTATGTATGCATAAATGTACTTATATGTATGTAAATAAAGTGACTATTTTATATGCAGTTATTTTTGATTGACTGATTGTGTGGCTTAAAGTGTTTAAATTGGGGTGAAATATATAAAATAGCGCGTGCTACGACCGGAAGTGCCGTCGGTGCATGTCAAGTCAAGCGTGTGATGCAGTAAATACGTACATATGTGAGTACATTGTGTAAGTAAACACTTAGTAGAGGAATTTCGATTGTTTATCAACAAACTTTATTGCTAAGCGACTGATGCATCCAAACTTGCTTGTAACTTCGGATTTTAGTAATAAATCCTCAAACTTAATTTGTGCCTATACATATGTATATATACTACTTGCATATATGCTTTTTATACACGTGCGTATGCAAGCATTTAGCTTATGTCATTTACTAATTTGTTTAACTTCCCCAATGATTTGCGTTGTTTATGCTTGTTTTTTTTTTTGTCTATGTTTAGCGCTAAATTGGACAATATAGCTTTTCTGAAAGTGTCATCGCCCTCACATTGAATTTTTTCTTCATTCCTGATGATGGCTATATAGACTTCTGTCGATAATTTACCTTTTTACATTTTATCGTTGAATGTTAAAAATTCAGTATTTGACACATCATTTAACTTACTCGTATGTATAAATATGTACATAAGTATGTATATCGCTTAAATCCAATGGGAATTTTTGTGTACGGCTAGGCCTATATGCCCGATGCACCGCGGCCAGATTTAATCTATTGTGCCTCTTATTTCAACTTTTGTGGCCTAATACGCTTAGGATTTGTATTATCCCATGCTGCGAAATGCGCATAGGATCGACTTCACTGAGCGTGTAGTCGTTTAAAAATATGACTGTACGTACGATTAACCAGTGTTGGAAAGGTGGTAATAAGGTGTTTCACTGATTCATCCTCTTTACGACAAAGCCTGCAACAGGTGTTTCTTACTAGGCATATTGGCCTGCTAGTGCTATACATAACGATTTTAGATCCACTCCACTAATCCAAATAAACATCACGAAGAACACCTCAAAATTACATAGAAAATTTCGAATGAAAACTATAGATTTTCAACGATTAAGCGTATTTCGACACATAAATCTATTGATATATTAGCTTATACCCGCGATGTTATATTTTATTTTTGTCCCCATTTTGCTACAGCAATTTTTAGTTCACTGTGCAAGTGAAGTTTGTGTCCTAAGTCTTTCGTTGACATAATTTGCAATAATTACCTCTCAGTTGTTTTTTTGATAAATTTTAATATTCAAACCAATGCAACGCTATGAGAAAACTTTTGTTCTCGCTTTCATTCATCGCGAATTGTCCACAGAAAATTTTTTTTCCATTTCGTTCTCGGTCAGAATGTTTCTGACACCAAATTGTTCCTCGAAAGAAAGTTCCTTACACTTTTATTCGAGCTTTGTTTTTTGACAAAAGTAGTGAAGGACTTTATGTACCTAAGGTCTAGCATAAACACCACCAAAAATATCAGACAACAGGTGCTACTTTCGGCTCGTTAGCCAATTGAAAAGCTGAGCCATTTCTCGACGAACAAAAAGTGAGCTCAAAAATTCTCTCATCATGCCCGTCGTGGGCGATGTCGAACAAAAATGAGAAGGCTTTGGGGACTTTCGAGAGAACTATTCTACGCAAGATATATGTATGGCCCAGTTCGCGTGGGCGACGAGTATCGAAGAAGATGGAATGACGACATGTACGAGCTGTTTAACGAAATGAAATGGACATAGTTAAGCGCATAAAAAATACTACGGGGATGTACAACAGGCGCAATATCGCAAAGCAGAGAGGCAATTGACGAAGGTTTTTAGTGTCGGCCCAAACCGACGAACGTTTGTAGAGCCAGACAATGAGAATAAGGACATGGCAGGAACAAAACTTCGTCCAGTGAGACCTCCTGGATCATCTGGACTTCCTGTAACTTCTTCTTCTTCTTTTTGGCGCTGTAACCGCCTAAGCGTAACAGGAAACAGAAAATAACATAAAAGAAGAAAATGTGCAACACTATTTATCCCATTGCCCGGACTTGCGGAGGCCTGGCTTTAAAATGATATTTTTTTTCAAACGTCAATAGATTCTACAGATTGCATGTATGTATGAATATATATATTCAGCATTTTTATACATTAGAACGTAGCAGAAAGAGCAATTCCTTTTATACTCCAGAGTCTAAAGTATTTTTCAATGGAATTTCGAGAAAAAAACATTATTCAAATAAATCGATGTTCTCGAGGAGAAAATTTTTTGTTCCAAGTGCATTGACCTCAAGTACTTATAGTACCATATAAGCATAGCGTACCACTCTAATGCCAGTCAATTAAAGCTCTCCAAAAATCAATAAACTTTTGCTAAGGAAATCTTTGAATTATTTCAGTAAAACTATTTAAATCAAATTTTGTATTAAAATGTTAACCTCTCACCCCTTAGGGTTTTTTCTAAATGGAAAAAGGAGTACCGGTATTTGTTTTAGTTAAAAAAATAATGATATTTGGATCTGTCTCAAAGCCCAGGTATTTTATATGGGAAAAATACGTTTACGCAAAAATTATATAGAATTCTTGAAAATCAATATTTTTCGATCGGAAAACTCTGTTTCTCTTTAGCAGATTTACAATAACAATGCCCAATAATTTATTTAACCATTTTATAATGCAAAAAATGTAATGATGGGACCCATAAAAAATCGTTAGTATTAAAAAATGGTAAAATAAAGAATTGGAAGTGTCCTGAAGAGGAGCTGAAAGAAATGTTTTCGATAGCTGTATCCTTTGAATAAAGTTGTAGGTATCTTAAGTTTAGGTTTTTTACTTACTTTCTTTCTTCCTTTCGTAACGCAAACGATGAGCAGACGGTGTTCCTTTCCTGAAGTTATTTCAATAATTTTTTTTTCACCTGCGTATTGCTTGGAGTGTTTTCACAATTTTTTATTTTTTATTTTAAAATTTGTTCCCTTTTTGTTCAACTTTAGTTTCGTTACACAATTCGTGACACAATTCGTACATTATTTAGTGTGCAGAAGTCAAGAACCCCAAAAATGTGTTGTTATACGAAGCGTGACATATGGATTCGTAGGCAAGCCAAGTACCATCATTATGTATTTTTTTACGGTTGCTTATACGAATACCAAACAACGAATTTGTATTAATTTTAGTGTTCTTACTTGCAGACATTAAAAAGGTAAATATATGTACGTAAAAATGTACATATGTATGTACATAATTGAAAAACGATTTTCTTTAATCCCCTGGATGTTACTAAAGAAATATTATACACTCCATACTTGATTATTCATTGCATATTTGCTTTCAATTTTAACTTCATTTATTCACAAATTAATCTTTCCATAATACAAATATTAAAAAAGTATTTTCAGTGAGTCCCAAAATGTTTTAACTCAATTTATTTAAGTGTATACACTTTTAATTTAAAATTTTCATATTCAAAAGCTGCGAATGCCCGCGAATGATTAAGGAACCATTTGAATGCTTCGACGACACTTTGACAACTGAATATCAATTTGGATTTGCTGCAGACTACTAACTGGGCTTAAAACGTTGCTAATAAGACTGCAGCGGAAACTATACATACATATGTACTTACATACCCAGTCTGTGGTTTACTCCAGCTACTCCGACTAAATTGCTCAGCAACTCCGCTGTATGTATTATTATTGCCACTTCTTGCCTGGGAAGAGCAGAGCGGCAAAGCTCAGTGAAAATATCGCCCAATGTGGTGTGGTGCGTATTGACAACGCTCTAAAATGTGGCGTGCAATATGGCACTCCAGTGCATAAAGCGTGAAGACTCGCACAAAGGCCGAAAAATTTTGAGCGAGTTGAGGATTGTGGAGTGATTACAACGTTGCCAGAGCTACAGTGTACGCATATATGAGGGTACGCTCTTTGCGTTTATATGTAGATATATTTACACTCTGCTTCACAATGCTTCTGTTCATTGTTGTTGCCGAATTTGCTATTAAAGTGAAGTTAGGCTTGTATTTTATTTATTTAACTGTCAATAAATGTAACAACAAAGTTCGCCGGCAATATAAAAAGCCGGTATTTAGCTGCACCGTACAAGGGTATTTGGGGTTGCCCGTTCTTAGGTGACGCAACGTCAACATATACATATTTATCTGTATATGTTCATATGTTTTTATGTTACACATCGTCGTTTTAAGTACAAAACCGCCTATCGTCATTCTGCAAAACCGCGTAACTGACATTTGCTGCAAAAAATTGGATTTGCTCACAGAAGCTCTTGGCTCAATCCTTATCCATTCGTCCTGAAATATGCTAGCCAGAAATGCGATTGCTTTATAAAAAATAGAACCATTTTTAAATATGAGTGTTTTTACTAACTAGAAAACAATTTATGCAACCTGTGTGTTAGGTGGAACAAGACTGAGGAAAATAAATACAGATAAAAAATAAATATTCTGGTGTGAAAATTTTAACTCCTATTAGGACCTGACACAACTGAATGATCAAGGTATCGCAAAAGGGAATGGAAATATGTATGTATGAGAATACGTTACAAACAAAGATTCTTCTTCTTTTTATTTGGCGCTGTAACCGCCTAAGCGATTTTGTCCGAGTTCAACAAAGACCGCCAGTCGTTTCTCTTCTGTGCCAACGGACGCCAATTAAAAATGCCAAGTGAAGTCAAGTTCTTCTTCACCTGGTTTTTCCATCTCAGTGGGGGGCTCCCCCTTCCTCTGCTACCACCAGCGGGTTCCGAGTAGAATACTTTCAGAGCTGGAGCGTCGGTGTCCATTCGAACGACATGGCCAAGCCAGCGGAGCCGCTGTAAAGATCTCGAATACTCCAAGAGCCGCCTCATCAGATGTTGTCATTGCCAATGCTTCTGTTCCTGAGCGGTTCAGTTCTTCAGCTCTTATTATCTTCTGCAACATCAGATTAAAGAAGTTACATGAAAGGGGGTCGCCCTGTCTGAAACCCCGTTTGGTGTCGAATGGCTCGGAGTGGTCTTTCCCAATTCTGACGGAGTTGGTGGTATTGCTCAACGTCATTTTACACAGCCGTATCAGCGGCGTATAGGCAACTCCTGTTAGTGCTGTCGAGAGCTGCTTTAAAGTCGACATATAGGTGGTGAGTGTCGATCCCTTTCTCGCGGGTCTTTTCCAAGATTTTACCTGGTCTATGGTGGATTTTCCAGGCCTAAGGCCACACTGATAAGGCCCAATCAGTTCATTGAAGGTGGGCTTCAGTCTTTCACACAATACGCTCGATAAGACCTTGTAACCTATACTTAGAAGGCTGATCCCGCGTAGTTGTCGCTATTCGTACATCACATCATCATAGTCAGGCGGAGGAACATGACTCAGTCATCATCGACTGGGGGCTCGGAGTACGCCCTGGTCTTGGAACCTTCCGTAAGTCGCCTAACTCTCTGGTAAAATTTTCGGGCATTTTTCCTGTCGGACAGCATTTCAAGCTCTTCGCCCTCACGTATTTCGGCCTCTCCCTTCTTATATCGGCAAATACATCTCGCTTCCCTCTCCAGATCCCTATAGTGGTCCCACATAGCGCGCGTTGCACCCGATCGCAGCGTAGCCCTGTAGGCGGCATCTTATTTCTCTGCAGCTTCCTGCCACTCCTCATCGTACCAGTTGTTCTTTCGGACTCGCTCAAATCCGACTACTTCTTCGGCGGCGGTTCTTAATGAGCGGGAAAGGTGGTTCCATTGTTCGCATATGTCGGTTTATTGAAGAGTGCTCTCTGAGAGCAGGTGTGAGAGTCGAGCAGCGAATGCATTGGCTGACTGTTGTGATTGCCGCTTTTCGACGTTAAATTTTCCTTGCATATTTGGGAGCACATTTTTTGCTGCACAGAGGCGGGTGCGTATCTTTGCTGCAACAAGATAGTGGTCCGAGGGGATGTTTGGGCCTCGGAGTGTACGTACGTCCAAAACACTGGAAGCATGTCTTCCGTCTATCGCAACATGATCGATTTGGTTTTTCGTTTTTCGATCCTGAGACAGCCACGTAGCTTGATGTATCTTTTTATGATTGAACCTAGTACTGCATACTACCATGTTCCGGGCCCCGGTGAAATCGATCAGCCTCAGTCCGTTGTCGGACGTTTCGTCGTGAAGGCTCAATTTTCCGATGGTGGTTCCAGAGATCTCTTCCTTGCCCACCCTGGTATTGAAGTCGCCAAGCACGATTTTGATATCGTGGCGGCGGCAGTGCTCGTACGTGCGCTCCAAGCGCTCATAGAAGAGATCCTTGGATACCTCATCCTTCCCTTCGTCGGGGCATGGGCGGAGATGAGCGAGATGTTGAAGAATCTCGCTTTGATGCGGATTATAGCTACACGCTCGTCTACCGGGGTGAACGACAGTACTCGGCGACGGAGTCTTTCTCCCACCAAAAATCCAACATCGAATTTACGCTCCTTTACATGGCAGCTGTATGAAACGTTACAAGGCTCCAGGCATTGCTTGCCTGCCCCGTTCAACGCATTTCTTGGATGGTGGTGATGTCTGCTTTTATTCCTACGAGGACAGCCGGGCAGAGGCCCCCATTAAGGGTCTGGACATTCCAGGTGCATGCCCTCAAATCGTAGTTCTTTAAACGTTTCACGTGGTCGTGATCATAAGGGGGGTCTCATCCGAGGCATTGCTTCGCTTCTTCACTGGAGGGGGTTTTTACGTGGCGTGTCCCAAACGAGTGCACAGCCTATTGCTGGGACGGGGGAGGTTTCGCAACCAAATACAAGCTTATATAGCGAGCTGCTTACTCCAAGACAAACACCCGCTTGCAGCCGCACCTACTGGTGAACAGACGCTGCAGACTTCAGTGAACCCGTAGACCGAATAAGTCGAAGTGGCTCCACCGAAGCTTCCTCTCTTTCTGCCGTGACCCAAAGCTCTACTCAGATTGGTTACCACGTCTCGCACATGGGTTGTTCACGTTGCCCAGAGTGCGCGAACGAGGACGCAAGAATCGGGATTGAGTATAGCCATGTAACTGTAAATGCATACCTAGCACAACGACTATACCCCATTGCACTCAGTTCTACTCTTAGGTCTCCTGATTAAATAGCTTAAAGTAGGGGTTTCCATGTTTTTGATTTTTCTTGCAATGTACCAACAAGCGAGCAATATGTATCTATTTAACTACTTAAATGTGCGTAGCATTAAGTAAATGTGTCTATAACTTTTCCCATTAGCGCCAGTATATGTATGTATGTATGTAAATTTTATAAATTACCAGTGTTGTGTTCTGCTTCGCAGCCCAATTACAATTCTGTGTTTACATACATATGTACATATATATATACACATGTACATATGTATACACATTTTAGGTGACCATATAAATACATACATACACACATGAATATTTACACGCTTTTGTAGGATTTTGTTTACATATAAAGTTCCAGCTAAGGTCATCGTTATTATATATTCTCCCAAAACAATACCAGTCCAGAGTTACACAATCAAAAACTCCATGGAGTTGCAGCAAACTTATATAGTGATGCATGCGTGCACATATGTATGTATGTATGTATGTATCCATAAATTCCATGAATGTGTACTTGAACCAAATATTGTACATACAATACCCATATTACTGGTCCTATAGGCCGTCGAGTTCATGTGATTGGCAAGTTGTCACACACCAGCTCCACATAATACATACGTATGTAAGTATATATGTACGCATGTACATTAGAGTGGTCCAAACAAATTTTTCCCAGATAGGATTTGGGGCACCTTCCAAAATGTTTCCTCTTGCCTAAAGAGGTGCTCGCACCAAACCTTACGTTTCCATTTAGAGGATGCTCATATTTTACTCTAGAAGTATTCTGAACATATATTAATCAAATAGTTGATTAAGTAACATAAGAACATTTCAAATTTAAATTATCTATTAAAATATCCCAAGCTTCAGTAGCTTTCTATAAAAATCACCAATATTTTTGCCAGTTTCACAGCGATCCAGTAGAGCATTTCAAGATCATTGAGCACCCTGTATTGGTTGCAGCAGAAAACCGAAAGTTGGTATAGATATTACAAATATCAAAATACAAAAATTGGACCACTCTAATGTACATATGTATATGAACA